GGGGGGGCAAAAGGAGGACATTGATTGACTTTGCAGCCTAGGAGCGGAGGTCCCTGGGACCATCAAGCGAGAGGAGCGGGAAGTGTGACCCTACCCAGAGAGGCAGTGAGGCCAGGCAATGAGACACAGATAATGGCGTGGACAGATGGAGTGGCTGGGAACACGGGACTCAGGAAGGGAGGGGGACCTGTTTGTTGACAGCTGCGGGGCGGGTCTGTGGGATGTATCCTTTTGGTTTAAAAAAGGAAAAAAATTTTAAAAAGTTAAAAAAAAAAAGAGGTCCAAATAGGAGGTGGCACTGGACTTGGACATCTGATGAACGGGTAGATTTTCAATAAGTAGAGCAAGGAGAGAGATGCCATGAGCGATGCAGATGAAGAACAATCACTACAGCTAAGAAGGCCTGGACCACTTAGTGGATTTATGCCGCACTTTTTACATCTCGTCTCGTAGCAGGAGTCAAAGCCCACCCGTTACCCTAGCAAGCTTTTCTCACAAAAGGACTCTTCCAGGAACAGCAATGGTCTATCCCAGGGGTTTGTGAGGAAGCCCAGGAAACTGTGAAATTAGTTGGTGAAAATTGTGTCGATGTCAATTTTTCCAGAGAGATGGCCCGTTACCTTCTTTAAAGTTAGAAAAAAAAAAACACATCATTGGGTTTCAAAATATTAGGTAGCATCCACTGGTCACTATATTTGTTTCAAATTGTCATTTTACACTAAGACTGCCCCGTAAAGCAGCCCCATGAGGTAGCGTGTGAGAATAAACAGAGAGCTGATGAAACTGCAGACCGTTAGGAAGGGCTGTGGCTGTGAGTGGCTCTCCTGCCGAGCAGCATGTGCGCCGAGACTTCCAAGGTTGTCCACCAGGCACACCTGCCTGCACGTGCTCCATGCACTGGGTGCCTTTCTAAGGTGGTCAGTGGCCGCAGTGAGAACACACCTGCTGGGCTCTGTGGGTCAGGCTGTGAGTCCCCTGAAGGTGGGCTGATGTCTTGGCATCTGGACTGTTGAATAATGATAAAAAGTCACGCAAGCGTGGCCAGGGGCCTATCAACATGCTCTCCTTGATTCCCAGTGTGGTGCTGGAGGATAAGCACTGGGCTGCTAATCACAAGGTCAGCAATTGAAACCCACCAGCCACTCTAAGAAACTGTATTCAGAGTAAGTATGACTCGAAACCAACTCAATGGCCTTACTGCCGAGGTCGCCCGCCATAACGAAAACAGTTTGAATTCACTTCAAGCACATGTTTTCTTACTTGGCCTCTCTGCTAACGCATATGCACACTGTTCCTTACCTCACTGCCTCCCCACCACACCCTGCCTTGCTCTCTAGGCACCATTTTCATGAAGTATCACCTGGATAGCAACCTATTCAACGCTTTTCTCAAGCAGCAAAGTCTGCAAACACCAGGATCAAGAGGAGAGGAAACACGCACATTTGCACCAAGTTCAAGTGCAAGCTCTCTCCTGACCATGTGCATAGGGCCTCTGGGAGAAGGGGATAGAGGGGTTCTCAGGGAACATGAGAACACAGAGGCCTCAAAGCCTCAGCTGACCACACACTTGCACCCTTTCATTTAAGCTACCTAGACAATCAGTAAGAAAGATCAGAGAAGAATTGAGGCCTTTGAATTGTGGTATTGGCAAAGAATACTGAATACACCAAGGCCTGCCAGAAGAATGAGCAGAACTGTTTTGGAAGCAGTACAGTGAGAATGCTCCTTAGCAGTCAAGATGGTGAGACTCTATCGCATGCCGTTCTGCTTGGAGTGTCAGAGGAAAAGAGAAGAGCCTCAATGAGACGGACGGACACGAGAGCTGCTGCAGTCATGGGCTCAACTACGGCCATGGTGGTGAGGGCGGCACGGGAGCAGGCAGTGTCGGGTTCTGTTGGGCATGGGGTCTCTAGGAGTCAGAGCCAACTTGAGGGCACCCAACACCATCCTCCACAGGAGTCATTACAATCACACAAGGAGTCCTTTTCTTACCAGAGTGCCCAGAAAGGTACTGATTGTGCGGGCAGCCTGGCAGAGGGCGCCGTACTCCTCCAGCAGCAGGGAGATGAACTGGTGTGCCTGGGGAGGGCCTTGGACAGCTGATGGAGGGTTCACCTTGGCGGAGGCTGAAAGCTGTCTGAGGAGCCGTACTTTCATCTCCAGCACATATTCCCGGGCCTGCTGCTCTAGCCGCTGGTACAGCTGGTAGGGGTCCCTCTCGCAGAGCCTGCACACAGAGAGAGGAGAGTCAGGGCTCACAGCTAGGTCCATCAACCTTAACCTTCACCCATCCACACCCCACGTTACAGGTGAGCAGCCTGGGCACAGAGTCACCAGCATCTCCTGAGAACTTCCTCTGGCTAGCATGGATCCTTCACCTGCATTAATGTACGAAGCCCTCCGACGGCTGCTGCCCTTTCTGCTCCATTTTACCGATGGGGAAACTTGGGCATACCCAGGCTGAGGCCCTTGTTAGAGATCCCACAGCCAGACGGCAGTGGGGTTTGGATTCACTTTCAACAGCCTGGCTCAAAGTGCCGGGTCCTGGCCGCTAAGCTAACCTGAAGGGGCCCTGAAGGCTAACATCTGTGCGCTCGAATCCTAACTGAAAGGTTAGTGGTTCAAACCCACCAACCATTGTGCAGGAGAAAGACCTGGTGGTCTGCTCCAGAAAAGATCACAGCCCACCCAAGACCCGGGTGCAACCATCCTCTGTCCTGTAGAGATAGCTAGAATCGGTGTGAGAGCACACCATGAAAACGAGCAGCAAGCGCAAAGCTCGACCAACCCCAAGATTACTGAGCATCACACAGTGCAAGCGTATGGAAAGACAACAGCACCTGTAGAGAGCTTAGTGGGCCACAGGGTGCAGCACGAGTCCCCAATGGGCACTGTAGAACGTACTGGACTACTAACTGCTAAATCAGTAGTTCAATCCAATCCTCCGCTCCTTAGAAACCCTATACAGGGTCGCGATGAGGACAGACACGACAGCACTTGACAACAACTCACAGAACACCTTAGACAAGGGCTATCCTATCTTTAACTTCTTTCATCCTAAAAACAATACCAACACATTGCACAGAGTGTGTACCCTGGACAGCAGGGCAGGAAGTGAATGCATGTTTCACCACCAGGAGACAATTCTAACGGACATCTGCCTGCACCAACTTCCAGACCTGGGAGATCATCCACTTTAAAACCTGCTCTTGACTACACCTGGCTTCACCCTGGCTAGGGTGGATACTGCTTTCATCTTGTGCTTCGGAGGAACCTCTAGATGGAAACTAAGGGCCACTGATACAATATCCAAAAGCACACCCGAGCACCCACCACCAGAAGGGCCCCATTTCTTTTCAACAGCTGTCAGAAGCAAGTCACTGTCACAATTCTTACATTTGATGTTATGGATCCTATTACCTACTGGGCACCATGCTTGGTCAAAAGCAAAGAACACAAGTGAGAGAATGTAGGCTGTTATCTATTCTGCTTTTAATTAACTATTAACCACATTGCTTATATGTTGTAAGAGATGAGAGCCCAGTGGACAAGTGAACTCTTAGACAACATGTAGTTTGAAAAGCAGCACAGATTAATCGGGTTCCTGATATGCTGAGTAAATTTAAGATAGAAATAGGAATGTTTAGCATAACAATGCAATTGTCATTACTAGTATAGCAATGGTCCTCTGGGACGAAACGTATTTCATCTGTTAAAGGAAAGACAAACTCACGAATGCCCTGGACATGTCCTCCTTAGCTCTCTCCACATGGTGGAATTGGAGATGCAGTTAATTTCTTTGTTCCTGTACTCTACACATTTAATGAAATGATCAGCTGTTATTTTTGTTTTTATAAAAAAGGCAGTATGGTGAAGACGATGTGAACGTTTGTTAATTCCTGAATTCACTCATTTGCTCAGTGAACCCTGAGTGGACACTGAAGACGCCAAATGCACTCTCTCAATCCTTGAACTCTCACTGTCTGTCTCTATAACGTCATCATAGACAGCGGGAACGATACAACCAGAAGTGTGGTAAGGGACCCGTGAACACTAACTTCTCACTCCCCTACCCCCAGCCCCCAAAGCCCCTGAATCTTCTATTCATCCTTTTGTCTCCACCTAGCCTAAGCACCATGGAACCCTGGCAGCATAGTGGGTCACAAGTTGGGCTGCTAGCCACAGGTCAGCAATTCAAACCTACCATATATGCTCCATGGAAGGAAGCTTAGGCTTTCTGCATCCATAAAGATAAATAGTCTTGGAAACCCTACATAGGGTCACTAAGAATCAGAATCGACTCTATGGCACATAATCACCAGCACCATTCCAGGTACCAGATGAGACTTTTTGCACCAACAAAGATGCACAGCTTCAGAAAACCCTGTGTAGCATCGCTATGACTTGGAACTGACTCAACTGCACTTAACAACAACAATGATTCTAGATACTGCATATAAGTAGAATTGTAAAATATCTCTGTGTGGCTTACTTCACTCAGCAAAAACTTTTCAAGAACCATCCATGCCGTGGTTCCTTTTCATGCTGAGTTCTATTCCACTGTATGAATGTGCCATCATTCATTCATCCACACTGATGGGCCCTGGCGTCATTCCCAGCTTCTGACGACTGTGAGCCTCAGGGGGATACTTCTGCTCTCAGTGTTTATATACCCAGGAAGGGGACCAGTACATCATCTAGTCATTCTGTTTCAATTCTGAGGAGCCCCCAAACAGTTTTCCATAGCCTCTGACCCATTTACATTCTAACCAGCATGGCATAGGCTTCTGATGTCTAAACATTCTCGCCACCACTGAATTTCATTATTTTGTTGACTGCAACTTTCCTGGTTTTATATATTTGCTCTGAAAGTTCATTTCTCTGTGTGTTTGTACATTCTTTAGGGTTCTCTACATAGAAAAGATCATGTTATCTGGAAACAGAATGTCTTCTATCTTTCCTGTCTGATTTCCCTTGCTAGAACTCCTCACACAATGTTGAGTGGTGGTGGTGGTGGTGGTGGTGATGTGCCATGGGGTCGGTTCCGACCCATAGCAACCCTGTACAGGGTTTCCGAGGCAGTAAATCTTTATGGGAGCAGAAAGCCTCATCTTTCTCCTGCGGAACAGCTGGCAGTTTCAAACTGCTGCAGCTTGCGGTTTGCAGCCTGATTCGTAACCACTACGCTACCAGAGCTCCTTCAATGCTGAGTAGAAATGGTAAAAACAGAAAACCTTTGTCTTAGAGGGAAAACGTCTAGTCTTTCATCATGGAGTATGTTAACATGGATTTCTCATGTACGATGGGAGCTCAGAACATTCATGGGAAATTTGAATTTAAAGAAAATGACATTTTTCTGAGAACGTTTTGAGGCATCCTCCCACCCCAGTGTGATCCTTTTTTATGCCCGTCTTCTACTGACTGATCATCTGAAAAACTGATGTGATACATTAAACACTAAAGACCAAAGACCAGAAGAGTTGTGGGATGAGATCAAGAACATTATACAGGAAGAAAGCAAAAAGTCATTAAGAAGACAAGACAGAAGGAAAAGATCAAAATGGACGTCAGAAGAGACTCTGAAATTAGCTCACCAGCATAGAGATGTTAAAGCAAATGGAAGAAGTGAGGAGGTACAAGAGATGAACACAGGATTTCAAAGGTCAGTTCAAGAAAACAAAGTCAAATAGTGAGGACGGCCCAGGATCGGGCAGTGTTTTGTTCTGTTGTGCATAAGGTTGCTATGAGTCGGTACTGACTCGATGGCACCTCACAACAACAACAACAAAACTAAAGGTGTGGAGTTCTGGTATCGTGCTGCATGATAATGTGCTGGACTGCAGGGCTGGTTTGAACCACAAGGTCGGCGGCTCAACCTCACCAGCCACTCCTTGGAAACCAACCTAACAGAATAACAACAACAAATCTAAAGGTTTATCTTCATTCAATTCACAATAAAAACTTTACAAATAAACAAATAAAGGTTTATTGGCTTCTCTGATCTTTCAAATAATCATGCTTTCATTAATATTCTCTAATTTTTCAGTTCTCTATTTTGCTACCTCTGCTCTGCTCTTTACTATTTCCTTCCTGTTGCTTCCTTTGGTTCTAGCTTATCCTTCTTTTTCTAGTTCCTTGAGGTGCAATGGTAGGCTACTGATTCCATACATCTTTCTTTAATGATGTAGGTGTTTACAGCTATCAATTTCCTCCTTAGTACAACTATAGCTGCATCCCATTAGGAATGCTTTGTTGTTGTGTTTTTCATTTTCATTAGTTTTATGGTACTTTCTAATTGCCCTTGGACCAACTGATTTTTTAAGAGTTATTGTTCGTAGGTGCCATTGAGTTGGCTCTGATCTATAAGAACCTTTTGCACAGCAGAATGAAACAACGCCCAGTCCTGCCCCATCCTCACAATTGTTGTTACACCCAGACCCACTGCTACTTACACTGTGTCAATCCATCTCAATGGAGTCACCTCTTTCTCACTGACCCGCTAGTTTACCAAACATGATGCCCTTCTCTAGGAACTAGCCCCTCCTGATAATGTATCTGAAGCATGAGAGTTATGAAATCTGGCCATCCTGGCTTCTTAGGTACATTCAGGCTGTATTTACAACACAGAATTTTTGTTTTCGCATCTGGCAGTCCATGGTACTTTCAATACTCTTCAACACCATAACTCCAACGCATCAATTCTTCTACAGTCTTCCTTGTTCATCGTCTAACTCTCACATACATAAAAGGTGACTGAAACTGTCATGGCTTGGGTCAGGCACACCTTAGTCTTCAAACTAATCGCTTTGCTCTTGAACACTTTAAAGAAGTTCTGGGCAGCAGATTTACTAAATGAAACATGTTCTTTGATTTTATGGTTGCAGTTTATGTAAGTATTAATTATGGATCCCAACAGAAGGAAGTCTTTGACAACTTGAATGAATGGATCTCTTTCCCACTCAGCATGATGTTATTTATTGCTATTTATTGATCCAGTAGTGAGGATTTTCATTTTTGTGGGTGCCTTCCAAGCTGAAGGGTTCATCTTCAGGTACTACATCTGGCAACATTCTGGTGCTATTCATAATGTGTTCACATCTTCCAGCACTCAACAATGTTCCAATGACTATTTACAAGGTTTTCAGTGGCTAAACATTCAGTAGCAGTCTGCCTCTCCTAACTCCTAGTCTGTCTTAGTCTGGAAGCTCAGCTGAAACTGTCTACCTC